TCCTGCTGAGCTCACGAGGTTTTGTGTGAGTCAGCTCCGGTTCTACCTCTCGATCTAGTTCTAGTGATTTTGCCAGTTTTACTTGGTCGTAACGTAAGGTTCAAAAGAACATGAATACGTAAATCCCCTGTGCACTTTTATTTTCTCGCTTGCAAAGTTAGGTTGAAATCCCAACTAAAGTACGATTCAAGAACTTCAATTATAATATAATGATAAGTATTGATCAAAGATAGAAAAAAAAAGTATATTCAAAATGATTTATTAAAAGGTGTAAACTGTTGAAGATTATAAAGTATCAAATGTTAGAAAACATGTGATGATCACTTAATGAAGCCACAGCCCTAAGAACATTCAAGGGCTTAAACCATGAAGATGTAAAATATGGTGGCCGCAACATTATAAATTTGATTAGATGCGATTTGCATCATATTAATCTTCTTAAATGTATATAGCCGTTTAGGATTTGTTTATTTTCTTATATTTTTTATTTGTTTATTCTCTATATATGTGACATGATTAAGTGGGATTTGTAAGATATACGAATAGGAGATTAATACTCCATTCCATTCTTCATATTTCTTTCATCTTATTTGTTCGTTCATTATCAACTCTCTTTGAATTCTTTTATCCATATTATATAATTATATTTCAAACTTATAGAAATCTTTATGGTATCAAAGTATAAGGTTTAGAGGATCCCTCTGTTACGATTTTTTTTTATTCCGTTGTGAAATCGAAGCATATTCCCTCTCGTCTGTGAGTATACCGAAGTAGGAGCCTGCTCGTTTCATTTTTCAAAATAATGTTCTCACTTTTGGTCATTCCTTCAAACCAAAATTAGAGTTTTCTTCAAGTGAATCGTTGACCATTCATTCAAGTCACAGTTCAACATATTTTTTTGTCTCTCTCGGTTTTTTAATTTCAAACCGAATATCTCATTCTCACTACAATATATGTGAGTATTGTGATAATGATTGTGAGTATGAAGAGATTTATGAAGAACCAGAATATAGGGAGCATTGGGATGTCGATGATGTCTTAGCCAAAATACCAAAACCTATAAGAGAGACGTTGGTGCAAAACGTCAACGCAAACAACATCGAGTTAAATATTACACTTCTTGAAGAATTATTTCGAAGTAATGAGTTTTCTGAAATTATGCAAAAAAATACAGGTATAAAATATTGAAGAGGCGAAAACATTGCACGGAGAGGTATAAAACGAAAAAAAATCATGACAACGGCCATGACTTGGACTATGCACTCTCGGAAGAAGAAGAAAGAGAAACGGATGTGATGATGAATGACCTTACAATGGAGGTGAAGAACCCCGAACAAGAGGCATCACACGCATCCGATATCGTTCTTCATCCGAGAATAACAAAGAATCCTAGCATCTCCTTAGCATTGAGAGAAAATCGAGTTTGTAGTATCGTCTCTTCTCCTATCTCGATTGATATTTATTTTCCAATTGATATGCTTGTTTTTGTTAGTATATTTAGACAGAAAAAACAACAAATAATCTCGAAGATTTATGGTGAGGAGAAACTCACGAGTGAGGTAGAATGTCATGGTATACTCGTATACTTCTCAACTGAAAAGAAAACAATGCAAACATCCGGAGAACTAAAAGAAATGATATTTCCTATGAGTTTCAACAACTTTAGATTTGGTAAAAACACTCTCAACGCCTATGTTTTTTCATCTTGGAGAATATATTCATGCATTATATAATAAACAATACATACGTGTTCGAAATAATCATGATCATGCTTACAACATAAATGACATGTTTTTAGTGTTCAATGAACATTTAAGTGAAATGCTAAAAATAAATGGTAAACAACACATTAATCATACTCTTCGTATAATGCTTCATTTGTCAAAATCATCAAATTTAGCATTCACATGTGTTAGGACATTACTTTTACTTTTGTTTGATGAAAAATATATTATTGCATGCTTATATTAGGTTTATCATCTCAAACAGAGCGTTACGGACTCTCTTGTATTATTTAACTATTTTAATAAGTTCATGCAGAAAACTTGAGGAGATGTGAAATGATGGAAAAGTCAAAGGAGCTGCCACATGATGTGATCGCACGTTTAAAGAGAAACTGATGCATGCATGGACACGTGTTCTACAAGATTAGCTTTTTGACAATTCTCCAAGCTAGTCTTGTGGGGAAATGTTAAAGATTATAAAGCTAATCTTGAATACAGATTTTCACCAATAGAAAAAACAGATTTTTATATGATAACAAATGAACAGTCAGACTTTTTCAGATATAACGTATCCGAATGGTTTGAAAGGAACTTGTTAAGTGGCTCAGAGCTTGAGAAATTGCCATGGTCGACCATATTTGGTGTTACATGCTGGTTCTTGTGGCGTTGGCGCAACAACTTTGTTTTCCAAAATCAAGGTATCTCATCCCAAACAACGGAGAATATTATGCTATATTTTAGACAAATTCATGAGTTGGGAAGTTTAACTTTTCTATCATCATCGAAAAGACCATGAATTGTACAGGATATTTGTTGGGATCCTCCACCTTGGGATACTATGAAACTAAATACAGATGGAAGTGTTCGGGAAAATCCCGTTTCGGCAGCAGCGGGTGACCTAGTAAGGGACAGTTGGGGCAATTGGATCGTTGGTTTTGCCTCTAATCTAGGGATTTGTTCGGTGTTTAGAGCGGAAGTTTGGGGAGTTCTGCTTGGATTGAGGTTGGCGTGGGAAAGAGGATGGCATCGAGTGATAGTGGAGGTGGATAATCAAGCGTTAGTGAATGCGATCCAAAGTTCGAACAGATTAAATATAGTGGATGGCTTAATTATAAAGGCAATACAGGATATATGTGCGAGACAATAGACAGTTTCAGTTTTTCATGCCTTTCGTGAATCGAACTTCTGTAACGATCAACTCGCCTCTATGGGACATAATCTGCCTATCGGTTTGACGGTCTTTGAGTCTCCCCCATCTGCCATGTCCGAATTATTTTATGCTGATAGGATTGGAATTATAACCTCTCGTGGTTGCGTGATGTAATTTAAAGTTTTAACTCCCTTGTATAAAAAAAAAAAAAGAAAGGAATGTGACCGTGAGAAATGATGGAAAATATTACAAACTATTCAAATAAAAGATTCGTACTTTGTTTGTATGGATTGCCAGATTTAATATATATATATATATATATATATATATATTGTAGTGCTGGATTTAAAATGTTATACTTTGATAATACCATTATAAAATTTTGAATTTCAGTTATATTTCAATTTGACTTTTAACTATATTTTGATTAATTTATTTTAGATTTATATTTAAATTTTTTAGAAAAAAATATATATGAAATTTATATTCTATTTAATTTGGTTTTATTCATAAAATTATCATTTTTAAATAATTCTATTATTATTTTTTTTTGGAAAATTCTATATTCGAAATGAATTAATTTTGAATAAAAAATATATCAAATAATGTTTTCAACATATTTATTTCAACTCTAAATTAAATAAATTTAAAATCAAGTATTAGTTGATAGATAAATTTTAAATATATAATAAAATAGTCGAGAAATAGAAAGATAGGCTCGGCGTAGAATAAAAATAATGAAGACTTTTTAATTATGTGATGAATATTTATATCATTTTCCATGGATCACACTAAAAAAATAAAGGGTGAAAGAGATATTAGATGTAGATATAGGATAACGTTAGTGATTATAAGCACATGGTTTGATCCAAATTAGAAATACATTTGGTACCAATTTTATGCTCTCTGATTAAATTTTATAATATTAATTTAATTTTAGTTCAGTATCAGTATAAATTAAAATTAGCTAATAAATATCAAGAAATATTTGTATTTTTTTTGGGAAACATGAAAATTCACACTTAGACACAAATTTGACTGAGGTATATAAGTACATATACTTATTTATATAAACGTAAGAAGAATGAAAAATCATCGACGATTACAAGTTTTTTTTTTTTAAAAAAAAGTTGTATACAAATTAAATCACACATAGTTTTTTAACCCAAAAAAATAACACACATATTTTATTAACAGAAACAGGAGTTGAAATATGGCAGAAATTGGTGGTGTGGAGAAAGGCGTTTTGATCAACGGTCCATTCCTGTTGCCACGGTTGGTGGCGTGTTGCCTTGTGGATTATGCCCTGCCACGTTACCTTGCCATCCTTCGAGGAAAAAAAATTTAAAAATAGTTATTAAAAATTTATTATATTAAATATTTAGTCTTTTTTTTTTTATGAAGAGCGATCATTTCAATAGATTCAGGCAAAATAAGAAATAAGTGAAATAAAGTTGATACGAAATTGATTGATTATAATTTGTCAAAAATAATTGGAAAAATTAACGAAAATGACTTCTTAAATAAATATTTTTTCGTCAGAATTTAAATAAACAAAACCTGATAAAAAAAAATTAAAATCCAAAAATTCAAGATATAGATAAAAAAGATAGGGATGTCAATCGGGTCGGTTCAAATCTGTATTCGATTTGAGGGTTTAGGGCTCATATTCGGGTTGGTCTAAATTTTTCGGGTCTATATAACAAAGCCCGAACCCCAACCTTATAAGTTTTGAGTCCAGATTGGGTCAGATCAGTACGTTCAATTTCCGAACCGAAAAATTTAAACTAGAAACCCGACATTTTTCGGATGAATTCAAGTAGTGCTTTGGATCTCGTGACTAAATTGACCGAGCATGAAAATATAAAGCCGTGACAAGAGGAGATACGGACCAAGGGATGGATCGAGGCCGCGGGACTTGAGCTCGCGATGTTCTTGGCAGAGAGCGCAGCCGCAGCAGAAGCAGTGGATGAGGGCATCGGAGCATGGCTCCTCCGGCAAGGAGAATTCCTGCCTTATTTTAAGTCTGTATTTTGACGCGTAATACCATCCGCATCCGATGTGGGACATCGCCACCACCATCAACGCTCCAAGTCTCCTGCCTGTATCACCTTTTCCTTAGAAACTCGTAATATCTTGCTTTCTTTTTCTTTTTTAAATTATTAAGATCGGTTTAGTTTAATCCATAATATAAAATCCATTTTCATTTACATCCTAAAACAAATCAAATGCAAATATGAAAACAGGGTAATCATTTCTTTCCATCACGTTCATATTCAGACTTTTTGGTTTAGAAAAAAATAATATTCGTTCGGATTTTATTCATCAAATCCAAATAAAAAAGTTAGTGTTATTGGATAGCTGAACGGTTCGGTTCGGGCTAATCGGTTACAGTTAATTTGAGTTTGGTTATTTTGGGTTATAAGAATTTATAACCAAACCGTTAATTAATTTTATTCAATTCGATTCGGTTTTATGTATTTAAACTGTAACCAATTAAAATTTTCATTTGGTTCGATTATAATATGAAAAAATAAAAAAATAAAATAAAAATATTATATAATAATTTTTCTTCAATTCAAATATTTATATCATGCAAACTTTAAAGATAATAAAACAATAAAAAATTAAATTAAAAATAAAATAAAATAATGATTAGATTAGGAATATATATGATATATAAACGGTTCTTCGGTTTGGTTAGATTCGGTTACTTCATTTTTGAGAATTTATAATAAATGGTTATTAAATTCAATCGATTCGGTTCGGATTCGACTATTTCGGATTTTGAAAAATCATAACCAATCAATTATTCGATTCGGTTAATAAGCAAAATAACCGAAATGAATGTTCACTCCATTCACTAGATATTGTTTTGGGTTTTATTATTGTAGAATCAAAGCTATAATTTTGAAACGGGATAAATTTATTTTTCTATTTCATATATATATATATATATATAATATGATTTTTATACATTGATTTTGTAATAAAATGATGAAAAAAAGGAAAGAAAAATGTATTTTGTGCGTGTGCATAACTGCATATATACACACAAGCAAGCAAGTTAGACTTACTGGTTTTCCCTCGGTCCACAATCTCAGCTATCCTCCCGAAGGTCACGCATGGACAAAAACACGTCAAGAAGCCTTCACCCAAGAAAAAAGAATTTATTTAGGACTATACACGTTACACAAATTACAAAAGTTTCAATACATGCGAATAAATGAATATATCAATATCGAATTTTATAAACTTACAATTAGGGATATCTTCACAACAATCGTATAAACCACTAGTCCACATGTTTCAGTTTATTCTCTGTTCTTTTTCTGACCTATTCGATCGATCAAAGAAGGGTTGTATGAAGATTTTTTTTTGGTAGATGTGTATGGACTTTTTTTTATGGTTATGTGGTCTGTATTTATATAAGTTCCATCATTTTTTTAATATTTAGTTTATTATACTTTGACTTTGGCCACCATAAAAAATGACATTGTGACTGTAATTTTCCAGATTTCGTGTTTGAACAGATGATTTAATTTGTTAGGAATGTTATTTTTCTATTGAATGTTATGAGTAGATGTAATTACTAGTATAATGTCTGCTATTTCTTAATTATTATATGTTACATATTTTATTCGATTTAATTCTTGTAAAACTTGAATAAAAAATTTATTCTTCATTTAAAATTATAAAGTTGACCAATTTATTTAATTGTATCTGTTAAAGTCTAATGGAATTCAATTAATTTAATTACATAACAATACTTAGAGAGTTTGGAAATTATGAGGTAATTTCCAATAGTCAAATTGAATTGCCACAAAATGCACGCAAGAACCATTATCTTTTTAGTGGTACAATTAAATAAATGACAATTAATTAGGACAAGTTAGTCCAATTATTTAAACTTCACTTGATAAAATATTTGTTGAAGAAATCATTATACGTAATGATGATCGATATTTAATTTTATTAGCACAAAACATATTTTATTTGCTCATAATTAGTTCCTCTTTTATTTACGGTGGTCACATTCTACCCGATCAACAGTTAGTTCAATTTTATAAATATCTGAATTTAATTGTTTTCGGTTAACATTATCGTAAATCTCTCGAATCATTATGTGAAAAATGATTTTCACATCGTAAAGTAACATTATTATAAATATTCAAATTCAATTGTTTCAAAATTAGATAATATTTTAAAAAAGAAATCAATATATGTTTTAAGAAACTTTATTTATATTTGGATGACTCGTTTTCCCCAAGATTTGCAAAGAATTTTTTTTCTTCGAACCAAGTGTATATACCTTCTTAGGAATCATCACCAAAGTTATATGTATGCGAGGTCAACCGAATCGAAAAAAATCACTTGATACACCATCATTTTCTTGACACTCCTCTGTCACACTACTCGTTAGCGAACATCATTTGAGGAAACGAGTGTATAGAGTGTCAATAGCTCGTGTCTAAGTTGTGGAACGAGTATAAAATAAAAATATAACAACCAACTTCAACATCCTAGAGGCTCGAAAAAATTCTAACACTCTTTTCTCAGGTTATTCGTTAATGAACATCGTTTGAATACATCAGTGTATCGAGTGTCAATAGTTCGGGTCTAAGTTATGGGACAAGTATAAAATAAAAATATAACTGTCAATTTTAACGTTCTAAAAACTAAAAAAATTCTGATACTTCTCTATTGCACTACTCGTTAATGAAATATCGTTTGAAGACATAAATGTATCGAATATCGATAGTTTGGGTTTAAGTTTTGGGATGTGTATAAAATGAAAAGATAACCGCCAATTTCGACGTCCTAGAGGCTCAGAAAATTCCTACTCTCCTCTATCCCGCTAATCGTTAACGAACATCGTTCGAGAACATGCGTGTATCAAATGTCGATAGCTTGAGTAAATTGTGGGACGATTATATCATTAAAACAATAACTGCCAAATGAAACATTCTAGATGTTTGGGATGACAAAAAGAAAAAGGGATAACACGGTATTCACATTATGATCAAAGCATCATAAAGACTTAGGTTAGGAATATTTCGAGAGATAAGTTTGAAAAGAAAACGGGAATTTCGATACAAATTTTAGTTAGTTGTATAAGTCTCATGTCTAGTGATCGATTGTGTCTAGGAAAGCCTTAACGGGTAGGTTCGATTCCATCTACATCAACCCCAATATTCACCGAGTATTTTATATCCGAGTCTCATTCTGATTTCACCCGTGATTCACCGATCCATAAAGAGTTTTTCACAAATTTCTTTACTCGAAGACGAGTAAAAGTTTACATCTAAAAGATTTGATAATTCATATATTATACTATATTTTCAAATGTTTAGCATATGACTCGATCATTACTCTAAAATATCACTCTGATACGATCAAAAATATTATTTCTCAATGGTTGTTCTAAATAATTCGAAAAAATATGAAAATTTTACAATTGATATACTCATTGCCTTAGTTTTAAACTTATAATCATCTTTCCTAATTATTGTGTTATTTAGATCTGATTTTAAAGTAGATAAATATCATGTGTTAGAAAAAAAAGACGAAAAATATAATAAAGGAAAACAAGTTACCATATATAAAGGTGAAACAATAAGCAATGCCCTATAAGAGAAAAAAATGATATATGCAATTGGAAAATGTAATAACAAATATATGATTACTATAAAATAAATCTTCATTACAATTGAAAAGAGATTTAACATGTATTATATATTTTGGTATTAAAAATGTGTGTAGAATTGATGAATCTATACAATCTAAACATAGGTTTTTTTATTTTAAATGTTTGAAATTAGATGCCTGCAAACTTTAGCCTATAAAATTACATTTCAGTTTAGATTAAAAAATCTTACTAAAAAAGTCTCTTAAATTTTTTCATTATTGATTATATCAAAATGTAATAAAATTAGTTTTAGAGGACTATAGCTATTTAATTTTTACACAAAATAAAATCAAGATAAGTGATTACACAAGATACTTGTGTATTATACAAGATACTTTGTGTAATACAGGTACATTCTTTAAAAAATAAAAAATAAAATTCATTACGTTCCTTTTTTACAATTGAAGATTTATTTATTAATAAATCATATATATATATATATATATGATATTGATTTGTTTCAACGTTTAAGCGAAAACAAAAGAGGTCAATCAATATTTTATACGGTATGATATTTGTTATATATATACACTTAATATTATGAGTAACATTTTTCTTCTGAAAAATTCCGACATTAACGAACATTATTCGAGGACATGAGTGTATCAAGTGTTGATAGTTCGGGTCTAATTTGTGGAACGAGTATATTATTAAAGAGATAACTACTAACTTCAACACATGGTAGAGGCTCGAGATGATAAAAAAAAGGGATAACATGATATTCAGATTATGGTTAAAACATCCTAAGGACTTAGATTAGAAATGGTTCGAGAGATGAGCTTGGAAAAGAAACGAAAATTCTGATACAAATTTCGGTTAGTCGTATAAATCCCATATCTAGTGATCGACTGTGTCTCGTAAATCTTTAATGGTAGGTTTGATTCCATCTACGTCAATTACAATGTTCACCGAACATTCTATACCCGAGTCTCATTTTGATTTCACGAGTGACTCACCTAACTCCTAGAAAGAACTTATCTTTAAACCATTATTATTTTTCTTATTTTCTATATTATTTTTTTGTAAATTAATTATTTTGATTTTTTGAAATTATATGGATTTATTTGATCATAAATATAATGAATTTATGTTTAAAACTAAATTCCCTTTATAATCTGGTTAACCCTACAAGAACAAAGTAATTTGAATCCGTTTTCTATATCTTTTGGCATTATATCCATATCTCAAATATCAAATAGACTTATAATATATCATAGAACGAACTTTGTTGAGATGATTATACTTCATTTTTAAAGTAATAGACGAAATCGGTATATATAAGATAAAGAAAGCTAATATTATTATCGAAAAAATTACAATTGGACATTGACACACGATGATAGTTCTCTTCATCGTGTACGTGGTCATTAGGTTTTTAAAGTTTCAAATTATTTTTATATTTAAATAAAGTTTCAGACCTAGTAAGAAGATATCTCTCATTAGAAAAAATTCTTTCCTTTTTTTTTTCTCTCTTTTTCTCTCGTAGTGAAAGACATATATCCATACTATTATATTCTATTGTTTCTCATATAGTAAAACATAATATTTGTTTTTTGACTCAATTTATGGATTTACATCTTCTAGGTCTACTATATCGGTCTATCAACGAGTTCAATATCATTGTCATTTAATATTTGTCTCACTGTCTTTTCAAATACTGTCTGTTCTTATTCGTTCTGTTCTTAGTGGTAAAAATAGCCCAAAATGCTTCTCATTACCAAGGTTTAAACCCTATTATACCAAATATTATAAAAAATTATAAAAATGTAACGAATAGATTTTCTAAGGAGAAAATAATGTGTATATACATGTGTATAGGTGCATATAAATATTTTGTTTATTTTTTATATTTTGTTTTTTTATATATGTTTATGTTAAGCTTTTAATCATATGTACAGTATAAATTATAACATGTCGAATTTTTTTTTAGAAAATTGAGATAATTTTATTAGAAATTTTCAAATAAAGTCTGGTTTGTTTGACTATTTCATATTTTTCTTAGTTTAGTATTTTTTTAGATGATTATAAAACAGAAAAAAGAAAATCAAACTTTTGTCCATTTTTTATGAGAGCAATAAAAGTATCAAATTTATCCCGAATCCGATTTAAATCCTATCGATATCAATTTAAATTAACGAATCTATTTAAATCTAAACTAATTAGATTGATCTAATTAATAGATTATATTAGATCAACTCAAAAATAATAATTTAACGGGTTTAACTTAATCCATAAATATAATATAAATCCAATTAACTAATTCAGTTTAATTAATTAAAAATTAATTTATATTATACAAAAATAAAATTTTGATATAAAAATTTCACGTTGGAATATTCATTGTCTAACAAAAATTAAATATTTTAAAACTAAGAGATATAATATAGAATTTAAATTTCTATACTTACAAATTCTAATTTTCTATATCTTTTCAAAATAGTTTTCTATTCATAAAAAACATATAAATTTTCGAATCCAATACAAACCAAACCAAATTCGAATTGAACCAAACCAAATTCAAATCTAACCTAGTTCAAAACGAACCAAATCGAATCCGAATCCATATGAAACCGAACTAAACTTAATCTAATCTAATCAAATCGAATTGAATAATAAATAAACGAAAAAACCAATTTTTTTAAAATGAGTTTTTATCAATAAAAACATAATCCAAACCAAACCGAAATGGTTTGATTCGGATTCTATTATTTCAGAGTTTAAAAATTAATTATCAAAAGTATTGATATCAAATTGGGTTGAACTAGATGGGTTAATCTAATCCAAACCAATTATTTTTGTATTTGGATTATTTTTTAGGTTAAAATATTTTATGGGTTAATGGATTAGGTTTAATAGGTTATAACTCATTCAACCCAAATAATCTATTAGTATTTTATTTGTTATTTTTCATTATAATTATGGATGAGTTATAACCGATTGATGAATCCGTAAAATTTGAAAAAATTGAATCGAAACTAAATCGATTAAAATTAAATTTAGTAAATATCCAAAAAAAATCAAATCGGGCTTGAAATTTAAGGCCCTAAATTATTCGGATGTTTAGACTGGTTTAAATCGGACCGGGCTCGGGTTCGGCTCGATCGGATAAAACCCGACGGCCCGTTGCCTTTTTTTAAAAAAGTAAATGAAATTGAAAAACAGGAAAGCAAACCCTCCGTAAACTCTCGTAGTTTCTCTCTGACGGCGACGGCCATCCCTCTCACTTCCCC